AGCAGCAGCGATAAAATAATTGATTCAATAGTAAATTGATACGGAAAAATGAACTCTTTTCAGAGGCTTTCTACAAAGTATCATTAAAAATCGGTGAAACCACTTTTCAGTTTATGTCACATCCTAAGTCTGATACTTGCATTTTGACTCGCAGGATTTTGCACTTGATGTAGATTTTGCAGTAATCATTATGATTATGATTCTGGGAATTTGGCATGGGCGCTTAGGGTTACGGTGAAGTTTACTTCAGCTTACAAAGTTAACTGCGAGTTCATTTAAATTATGCTAAAATTCTTAATCTTCTTAATAGTTGGGATGAGTCTGGGAGGTGCTGCTCAGAAAACTCATGCCTTTTCTCACTTCAGGAGCATTTTATAGGGAGACTGGTGTTTTCTCGAATATTTCCGTGGCAGAGAGCATCAGTAGTGCTGTTGAATTAGCAGCAAAATGCTATATTTTTGAGGAGAACACAAATGCTCTCAGTGCAATTTTCCTATCCATTGAGCTCATTCTCATCCTTATCAATAGAATGGCGACTTTCACTTTGCAAGTGAATATCCATCCCATTTTAAATGTTCTCAACTACGTATAATTTATTCATGACGATGCTTTCTGGATCCACACCCTAATTCGATTTGGGCATGTCTTTTCAATTGGCCTTTCAATTGAGACATGAGAGGAGCGAAATCAGGCTAGCTAGATACTTGACATTGCGAAGAGACGTCTCAACGATCGTAAAAACAAATTTGCATATAAAAGCACCTTAAAAGTACAAGTGCAAATTGTAATTTATCTTCCAATTCTCGGAGATGTTTATTACGCTATGTGAGTCCATGTTAGCGAATCGGGCTAATCATTCGCACCTTCCGCTTTGAAATTATCACAACACAGGGTATCTATAATTGCCTCATTAACAATTTTCATCTTTTCATTAATTAAAATTGGTTGTCACAACACTCTTAACCCTTCAACCACTGCATATTTCATGATTTCATATCCTACCTTGCACCATTTTTAACATGCGAGTGAAATTAATCCTTAAAAGGAAACAAAACTGCAGCCAATGCATCTTAGTCAGTTACCCTGCCAGAGGTCTCTAAGGCAGAAGGTTATAAATACCACATATAATGAACTATAATTTAGCAAAAATTCACCTGTTTGAATTTTAACGAAAACTTAAGCCAACAATTGCAAATTTGACCGCGACTGGAAGTGCAATTTCCTGGTTTTCAGAGACAAGTGATATCATTTTAGTGGAAGACCACTTATGATGTTTGGATTAATTATTGGCACCGGCACGACATCGACAAAGATTAATGACTGGCATTCTCTCACTCCATAAGAAGTTTACTGATCTACGCCTGTAGCAGAATAAGGTCTGGTATCTTCCCTTTGAGTAAAATCCCAATGTATGGTGGAATTAGTAAAAGCCGTTCTTCTCAAATCGAGGTTTTTCATTTCCTCGTGCATTCTTATGCGTCATTTATACGGCTTCTAATCCTAAAATAATTATATTGAGAAATTGTTTAAGGATTAATGTCATCGCTTTCCTGACAAAATTTGCTTTAGAAGGAACAGAAGATACACTCTGATTTTCGAGTTTCTCAAAGGGAGTTCCTCGGATTCACGTGATAGAACTTCACGTATTTAATTTTATCCAATCTGTCAACTCTCCAATGGAAGATTTTAGCAAGATAGAATCATGCTGTTGTAAATATCTGGACATTTCATTTTCAGCATACGGTGTTAATATCACCGCATAATGTACCACTTTCCTTTATTTTTCAGACTAAAAGCCTTGAAAGCATTCTCTTCACATTTTGATCTGAAGCATTTATGGACTATTGAGTCAGATGGTGACTTGTAATTACTTTGAGGAGATGTGGCGCGTCACTACATTGACTCCATTCAACCGTTCACATGGCTATTTTTATATCTGCCTAATGGAAAAAAAACCTACTCGCCTACAGGCTTATTGACATTCACACTTAGTTCCCAATTTCTTCTTTTACTCTCACCTCGTTGGAGGGGCAGTCGGTACCCTTTTACCGCTTCAATCGGTGTCCGGTGCATCATGGACTCACGTTCACCGCCGCACTATCCATTTGCGTTGTGAACCGGCACACTTGTAGACACCGAAATTTATCATAAACACCACCTCATCGACGAGGCGTATGCATGAATGAACATGCTCATCGTTCGCTTGAAGTTCCTTTGTCATGCACAGTCAAAAGAAAGTACCTCCACCTGGCAAGATGACATGGTCAGACGTCGAAAAACATAGGGCTCACTTTCATCATTGAATGAGTAGCGCTGGTCTCTATCCGATGTATCTTCTAAGAGAGGCAAACGATTTAACTTGAACGCATGCGATTTTACTTCGCTTTACTCCATTATTCAAATTAGAAAGCAACGACTTTTATGTCGTTTGTGGGCCTCAAAAACTGTTAAATAACTTTCGTGGACCCCATTGTAGGGGCAAAATAAACTGTATGAATATCATGGTGTGTAATTTTATCTCAGCATATGGCGGCCGACCAGAAAATAGAATGTAAGTTGTTCATTGATATTCCAACTGATTCGATTTACTTGGGTAGAAATTCATTTGATAAAGGGAAATGCTTGCAATCACCTGTATCTCAAAGAGAATGTCCATTTTTGTTAAAAACAGAGAGCTTTTGCCAAAGTTTAAATGGGTATAAATACTTCAACCTTAAACAGTGACCTCATTAGAACACACTAAAATCCGAGATGCCAATCCGTCTGTGGGTGGAGCATCTCCCTGAATCACTTCTTGAGTCATTTTCTTAGGAAGATTACTCAATTCGATGAATAGTTTGAATGACAATAACATTTTCATGTTGTTGCCATAGTTTTTCTTTAGCCAAATGATGCGGGGTGCCAAATGATGACTGAACCCAGCATACCAAAACTCAAACACTATGCTGCTGATAAAATCCAGAGGAGAAAGGTATTTCCATTCATGCATATTTTCGGTTCTTTTCCTCAAGGGTATTATTGTATAGGTGCAGGGGTAAAGGTGAAGAAAATCCCTCCTAGCTCCAATGAGTCTGCCTCAGACGACACAGCGGAGTGGAAATATGCCTTCAGATGCCGAGTGAAACCGCGCAGCCAAATGTGATTGGCGCGCGCAAATTCGTGGTGCCTAAACGTCCAATGGACGTAAGCATTGACCTGTTCCTTCCATTGACGATTCGCACCTTCACTACCAAACTATTACCCGTATTCACTTTCAAGCTATAAGATATGGATAATGTTGGATTTCCCACCATCACCAAACTAATGATCTCTAAACCGTAGTAGGTTACAAAATGTTGCTCAGACAACTTTTCTTTCAATTTTACATCATTTATTGTAAGGGCTATTCAAATTGTGAAGTTAAGTCGAGAAACGTAAGGTCCGATCGTGCATTCAATGTGAAACCTGAGTCAACGATATTGTCGGGAAATTCAGAGGAAATGGCTTTTTTGTTCTCATGATGCTGACACAGGAGGTACTCCTCACGAGGAATGATCTGAGACCTGGAAATAAATGCTAACGTGCCATTCCAAAGAGTTTTATGCATGTCTTTGAAGCATTTTGCCTTTAGCAAAAATGTATTAAGTATTTGTTGGCCAGTATTTCGTACTTTGGTTAACTCTAATAATTTTTTAACTGCTTCAAGTGTCCCCTCATCAATTCCAACAGTTTTGACTATGGCTTACAAACTTCTCGTTTATTTATATAAATGTTTCCACACGTTAATATGAAAGTCTCCTCCACATCAGATGACCTCCCTGCTGAGCAGACACTGTTCAGTTTAGAGACCTCATAAAACAGTCTACTTTGCGACTAAGAAATGATTAGTGTCGTGTGATTGCATTCAGGCCAAGATATTTTAACATTCCTTTTTTACAATTATAAAAATATGAACGAGGAAGGATCTGATTAATTAATGAGTTAATAATTAATAAATTTTATACA